GGGGAGCACACAGACTTTCAGGAGCAAAGAAGGACCAAAAGGGTAACATGGCCGGAGTTGGGTGATGGGGGGAGGTGGGGGTGTGGCAGGGACAGCCAGGGGATGGGGGGTGGGGGCCTGCCTGCTGGTCGGCAAGCGAGCCCCACCTCCTTTTCCCACCTTCCTTTCCACTTGACTCCCCTTTCCAGCAGGCTGGATCCAATTTGAGCAGAGGAACTGGATGAATTATCACACGTTCACACCTTGGTTATATTATCCAGCCATAAACGTTCAATTAAGGAGACTAAGTGCATGCAAATGACCTAAGCTATAATTTAGTGCGACTTGAAGAAAGATTGGAGGTGGTTTGGACAGTAGAATCACCACCTGTATCAAGTAGGTGTGTGCGCAGGAGACAATTTGAATAAGGTACTTAGCGCCGTGCCCGGGACATCGTAAGGGCTCGATATACACTCCCTATTATTATTATTATTATTATTGCCATCATCCCAACCCCACTGATCATCATTTTTATCTCCTGGACAAGGAATGAAATCACTAGTCGAAGAGAATCATTAAGATGGGCATACTTTTTTTTTTTAATCTTTGTTTTTAACATTTTCACAACTGTTATGGAGGCATCATCCTTTCTCTTGCCATTTAGAATCTTAAACTCATGAGATTATTTGAAGAAGATGAGACCGGGGGGCCTGGGTGGCTCGGTCGGTGGAGCATCCGACTTCGACTCAGGTCGCGACCTCACAGTGTGTGGGTTCGAGCCCCGCCTCCGGCTGTCTGTGCGAAGCCCAATGTGGACCCTCTGTCTCCCTCTCTCTCTGCCCCTCCCCTGCTTGTGTGCCCTCTCTCGCTATCACTCTCTCTCTCTCTCTCAAAAATAAACAAACATTTGGGGCGCCTGGGTGGCTCAGTCGGTTGAGCGTCCGGCTTCAGCTCAGGTCATGGCCTCGCGGTCCGTGAGTTCGAGCCCCGCGTCGGGCTCTGTGCTGACACCTCAGAGCCTGGAGCCTGTGTCTCCCTCTCTCTCTGTCCCAACCCACTCGCATTCTGTCTCTGTCTCTCTCAAAAATAAATAAACATTAAAAAAAATTTTAAATCAATCAATCAATAAACATTTAAAAAATAAATTAATTGAACACGATGAGACCACACAGGTTCTGCTCACTGCTCCCCGCCAGGAGACGCTAGGACGAAGGAGCCTCTGAGGAGAGCACGCTCCCCAGGCAGAGACAAGCACAGGTCGGGTCTCAGGGGGACTTGCCACCTCCTATGTCCCGGGGTGCCCCCCAGTCCCTGGAAACCCAACACCGGAGGGAGGGAGGGAAGTGTCTGCTACCAGCATGGGCTCTGAGTGCTGAGTCAGCCCGGAGCTGTAAGGTGAGTAATTGCCCTGTGGTTGCTCAGCTCTGACCCACAGTCTGGATCAAAGAAGAAAGCTCCAGAGCTTTCAGTCCTGCAGAGAGGCCCCTGGTCTGATGAATAGCGCGAGTGTCCTCATCTGAACCCTCTTCCCTTCCTCTTCGGGTTCCAGACCTCCCCGCAGCGCCGCACTGGCGACCTGTCTGGGAGGACCATCCGGCCACCTGGGCCTGGGCCTGTCTGGGGGTCGGGGGCTGCGTAGGATTCCTGGTCCTGGCCGCTGTGCCTCTGGGTGCTCCCTCCCCGGCCGCCCCGGCTCCCTGTTCAAGCCCGGGAGAGAACAACAACGAGGACACTGACGGGCAGGGCTTGGGGACCCGACTGCCTGCGTCAAACCCAACCCCGCCACCCTCCAGCTGTGTGATCTTGAACAAGCGACCTAACCTGTCTGCGCCTCATTTTCCTTACCTGTTAAATGGGAATAATAGCTAATTCCCTTTGAGGATTACATAGGACACGACAAGCGCTGAGAATGGTGTCCGGCATACAGAAGGTGCTCCATAAATCCTGGTTCTGCAAGCTAATCATGCCAAGTGCCCGGGTGGGCGGCATGAGTGCACGCCCTGCACAGCCGCACAGGGCCCTTCAGAGAGCCCTGGCCGGGCCTCCCGGGGGGCTCAGTCGGTTAAGCATCTGACTTCGGCTCAGCTCATGATCTCACGGTTCGTGGGTTCCAGCCCCGCGTCAGGCTGTGCGCTGACAGTGTGGATCCTGCTTGGGATTCTCTCTCTCTGCCCCTCCCCTGTTCTTTCTCAAAATAAATAAATAAATATTAAAGAAGGAGGAGGGGGGCGCCTGGGTGGCGCAGTCGGTTAAGCGTCCAACTTCAGCCAGGTCACGATCTCGCGGTCCGTGAGTTCGAGCCCCGCGTCGGGCTCTGGGCTGATGGCTCGGAGCCTGGAGCCTGTTTCCGATTCTGTGTCTCCCTCTCTCTCTGCCCCTCCCCCGTTCATGCTCTGTCTCTCTCTGTCCCAAAAATAAATAAACGTTGAAAAAAAAAATAAAGAAGGAGGAGGAAGAGGAGGAGGAGGAGGAGGAGGAGGAGAACCGTCCGTGGCTTAACGCTTTGCTCTCGCTGTATTGAAGTTCTTAGTGATTTTCGAGAAGCGACCCCACTGTTTCACTCTGCCCTGGGCCCCACGGCTTAGGCAGCAGGTCCTGTGGCTCCCATTTATGGGGCCCCTCTGTGCCAGGTGCTACCGAGGCACTTTGCAGACGCCACCCCGCAGCCTTCCCTTTGATCCGACCAGCTTGGTGCTCTCAGATGAGGACGCAGAACTCCCAAATGGCTCTCCCTAAAAGCTCACTGTGTAGGGGTGAGGTGTGGCCTCAGAGGCTGGCAGAGCGTCCCCCAACCCCCATTCCCCTCCCCGGTCTCTCTCCGAAAGCTTGCAGGCTGCCTTCGCCTCTGTGTCCCTGATTGGAAGCTTGAAGCTGGTCAGGAGTCTGGGGTCGCTGAGATAGATTTGTTAGATTCGTCCGCAAAGGAAACATAATCTATCCCAGATGCCTTCATTAAATTGTATAAGGGTTTCTAGAGTAGACAGAGTGGGAGCTTGCGGGCAAGAGTCTGCTAACGTGCGTGGTTGTTTTTCCGGCCAGTGTAATATGCACGTTCGCACATACGTTACCTGAATTAGCTGCCGACCCCTGGGAAATTTTACCCAAAATCCCCAATGCATAGCTTCCCTTAAGGCATCAGCCGATCTGGTGACTCTGGGCCTTCGCCCCCAGCTAGCCCACGGGGCAGGGCTGAGCAGCAGTTGCCCTAATTTTAAGGTGGGGTGTGGGCCTTGCAGCCAGCCAGGGCTCCCTCCCCTCCCTGGGGCCGATCTCAGTACCGGTTCGCTCTTAGGGCCTCTCTGGCCCCCAATACCATCAGCTTCGTGGGCCCTGCAAGCTTTGAGCTTGACTTCGGTCGCAACCCAGAGAGGAACGGCTGTCCACAAAGGACACCGGTCCGGGGTCAGAGGAGCCGGGTGGACCTCCCAGCCCTGCCCCTGCACCATGAGGCCAGGCAGAGACAAGGCCACAGGCTTCGGAGCCAGACGGGCAAGCTCAGGGTTGATTCCCGGTGTCCCACCAGCTCAGTCTCTGTGACACAGCGTGCGTGCGCTCACTCCTGTTCCTTCAGCTGTGACACGGGGACAGCAGTGCCCCCCTTCATTTGTCCTGCTGCCACACTGCGCCTGGCACCTTGCCTTCTTTGTCTCCAGCCGTCCCCGGATCTCTGCTAGGTGTGATCGCCAGGAGCCATTGAAACGGAGGCCGAGAGATCTCCCAGTCACAGAACCAGTAACAGATGCTAAGTTAGGATCCAGCCCCCCACAGGCCTGTGTGGAGACCAGTGGCTTTGCTGTGTGTTCGGGGGGGGGGGGAAGGGGGGGAAGAAGCAGCCTGAGGTAAAGGCACTTAGCAGGGAGGGGTTCCGGTCCCTGACTCGTGGGACTCAGCCGAGGGCCGGGTTGGGAAGAGAGGTGTGCATTAAGCGTCTTGCTCTGATCCCCTCGTGCCTGGGGCAAAAGGAAGGACTGCCTGCTGATCCCGACACCCACGCAACCCTGCTGTGGGGAAGCTCCGGAGTCTGGAGTGGCCGGCGGGGGGCACACACTGTTCTTCCTCCGACGTCTGTGGCCCTGAGGCGGTCAGCAGCAGGGGAGGAAGGGGGTGATGGGGCTGAGCAGACCCCAGGGAGCCAGTGGTGGCAGGGACAGTGGCCTCGGGTTCACCAGGTGATGGCCTGAAAGACAGTAAGAGAGGCTGGGAGCCCAGGTGACCCACTCAGAGCACCTGGAGGACACCTGCGACTCCCGATCACATACTGTTCACATGTATGTGTACGCACGTGTGTGCACCCGTGTGTGTATATGTGTGCACGTGCATGCATGTGCATGCATATGCATGTACCTGCATATGTATGCGTGTGCCTCTGTGTGTATCTGTGTGTGTCTGCGTGTGCACGTGTATGTGTCTGAATGTGTGTACGCGTGTGTATGTGTATCTGTATGTGTATATGGGTGTGTATGTAGGTGTATGTTGTACATATGCATATGTGTATCTGTAGGTATAGGTGTATGTATATATGTATCTATTTATATATAATAACACATGCATATGTATATATTTAGAAATACGTATGCATGGGAGTATATTATGTATATGCATATACCTGTGCACACACTTATACGTGTGTATATGCATATAATATGTATATATGTGTGTATACATGTATGCATGCTTCTACATGTACATATGCATGTAACATGCATACATATGTGTGTACATTGCATATATATGTATATATCTTACATACCTTGAGCCTTAGGATACAATTATCCAGTAAATGAAATTAAAAAGCCTTTGCAATGAGTGGAGGTGGTCGAAAGATATAAACCTCTGGTTATATAATAAGTAAGTCTTGGGAATGTGAAGTAGAAGCGTGACGACTATAGTTATTATACGTATTATATGTTTGAAAGTTGCTAAGAGAGTAGATCTTAGGGGCACCTGGGTGACTCAGTCGGTTAAGCATCCAACGTCGGCTCAGGTCACAGTTGCATGGTTTGCACTCTGACAGCATGGAAGCCCCTCCCCTGCTCACTGTCTCTCTCAAAATAAGCAAATATACTTGAGAGAGAGAGAGAGAGGAGAGAGAGAGAGAGTAGATCTTAAAAATTCTCATCACGAGGGGCGCCTGGGTGGCGCAGTCGGTTAAGCGTCCGACTTCAGCCAGGTCACGATCTCGCGGTCCGTGAGTTCGAGCCCCGCGTCAGGCTCTGGGCTGATGGCTCGGAGCCTGGAGCCTGTTTCCGATTCTGTGTCTCCCTCTCTCTCTGCCCCTCCCCCATTCATGCTCTGTCTCTCTCTGTCCCAAAAATAAATAAACGTTGAAAAAAAAAAATTCTCATCACGAGGAAAAAAAACTTGTGCAGATGATGTCTCTTCCTCAAGATGGTCTGCGGGTGCCACTGTGGGCAGAGCAGATGATGCCAATGGCCCAGCTGATGCCAGGAGGAGGGAGCAGGGAGCCCTTCCGGGGGCGGGTGTATCTTGCGGCTTGTGCCTGCTGAGACAAGGGGGGTCCGCTATGACAGCTCGTCACCTCTGTCCCTTAGCCACCTTGGCCGCACTCTGTCATAACTTCATTTCTCCCGCTGCCCCCACAGGGGAAGAAAAGAAAATCATGGCCACGTGTGGGGATCGGTGTTAAGTAAGCTGATGGGGGTAATCATTTCTTAATATATATGTATGTACATTGTATACCTTAAAGTAATACAATGTTGTATGTCAATGATCTCAATTGTAAAAATAAATCAATAAGTACACAATGCTTCAAAGCCTTTGTATATCTTAGTACTGAATGAGGCCTCTGAGGAAGGGTTAGAAATCTTGAAAGTGGGCCTCATGCCCTGCTGTTAAAAAGGCAACATACAGAGAAAGACAGATACCATATGTTTTCACTCTTATGTGGATCCTGAGAAACTTAACAGCAGACCACGGGGGAGGGGAAGGAAAAAAAACAATAAAAGAAGTTAGAGAGGGAGGGAGGCAAACCATAAGAGACTCTTAAAAACTGAGAATAAACTGAGGGTTGATGGAGGTGGGGGGGAGGGGAAAGTGGGGGATGGGCATCGAGGAGGGCACCTGTTGGGAGGAGCCCTGGGTGCTGTATGGAAACCAATCTGACAATAAATTTCATATTTTAAAAAAAAGATAAAATATAGAAAAAAAAAAAAGAGGCAACAGACGAGGTGCCCTGGTGGCTCCGTGGGTTAAGGATCCTACTCTTGGTTTCGGGTCAGGTCATGATCTCATGGTTCGTGAGATCGAGCCGAGTCGGGCTCTGCACTGAAACTGCGGAGCCTGCTTGGGATTCTCTCTCCCTCTCTCTCTGCCCCTCCCCCACTTGCGTGCTCTCTCTCTATCAAAATAAACATCGAAAAAATTAAAAAAAAAAAAAAAAGCAGGCAGCAGACTTTCCGACGAATACAATCAGAACTGTCTCTGAGACCTCTTTCACCCAGCAGCTGAGGCCCAGACAGAAGGAACTACAGATACATAACCTCCTGTTTCATTTTTCTATTTCTAGGTGACTGCCAGTTATGGCTGGCAGGGACCGTTCACATCCGCCTCCCCCTCTAGTGTCGGGGAGACACTTGCAGACAGCAGAGTCGGGGCGACGGGGCCTGGCCCCCTCCGCAGCGGCCTCCCCACAGAAAGGCAGGTGCCCCTTTGGACGCCCGACCTGTTCTGTTTCCTCTTTGGGAGCTCTCGTGAAATAAGGCACTTTTTCAACCAGCAGCAAACGAAATCACATGTAGGATTCCGGGGCCACTGCTTGAACGCCCCCGCAACGACAAACGAGCGAGATCTAGAACCAAAGCTGAGCTCTGAGCTTGGGGACCCGTGTTTGCAGCCCTCGCATCGACTTCCCGCTCACCCAGAACTGCCTGCGGGGATGTGCAGGAGAGAGGATGGTGAAGGAGGGCAACTTACCCTCCAGGGGTTCTGGGCCTCAGAAGGCAGGTGGGTGCTGAGAACCCCTTGGCCTCCCCTTACAGCTCTCTGAGGCTCACGTGCAGGTACAAAGAATCTTCCAGAACAAGGCTTCCCAGGAGCCCCCAGGCAGCTCTCCTCCCAGAGCTCTAGCCAGCAACAGCTGGTGTTTCGGCAGCTGCCCCAGAGGGAGTTTTCGGATGCCAGGAGAGCCTTCCCGCCAGCAGCCTTTAATTAAGAGCGCCATGATTACAGTCGCTAGGAGTCAAGAGGGCACCCCTCTTTCCTTAAACTTTGCCAATTGGAGCACAACAGCCTTTTCATGGGTAACAAGGGACCGTTTTGTACATGCTGACTTGTCTCAGGAGAGAGCTGTGGTCTGCAGAGAGAGATCTAGAACTCTAGAGCTCTCGTCACGCTTCTTACATTTGCTGGGAGATCACCGATCTCTTGCATCTTTAGCAGAGTCTGGCAAGTGGCGGGGAGGTGGCCAGGATCCCCTGGTAATTTAGCGACAGCTGCAGGATCACCCTTCTAGCACAGCAGGCCACATGGAGCCCGCCTGAGCCAACATTTGGGGGCTCCACATGGCGTTATCAAAAATAAGAGGTGTGAGGCTGCTTCAGACAATACGCCCCCTCTGACAGTTCCCGTAAGCTTCTCTCTGTCCCGAAACCCACACCTGGTGACACTGACGTGCCTGGAAAGAAAGAGACATGAGCACAGACACCAACCCCCATCTCTCTTCTTCTCTTCCTTCAACCTTAGCTCAGACTCGCACAAGGCACCTGCTATGCGCTAAACCCCATGCAGAGAGTTGAGAAGGCCCAAGGTCAGCAGAAGAGGAAGCAAGCACACGCTGCGTGTCTACTGAGTGGTGGGCATTGCAAGCTGAACACACACAGATTGAGAGGCTCAGACGCTTCTCTGCTTTACTCACGGCCGGAAAGAGTTGTGAACTGTTCACAGCAAGAAAGCCAGTCTCCTTCTAGGCGTGGGACCAGCTGTAGAAAGCTGATGAGAAATGAGAGGGGGAATTAGGGGTTGTGTGTGTGTGTGTGTGTGTGTGTGTGTGTGTGTGTGTGTGGAGGGACCTGGGGCTTCTTGACGCTATACTCATTGCTTCCTTATTTTCCTTTGTAAACTCTTGGGGCCTTTGATTACACGCTTAGCCCAGTTGCATGGCGTTGATACAAGTTTTCTCTTCGATTCTCAGTTTTTCACAGGGAAATGGTGATAGATGTCCTCATTTTGACAAATAAGAAAATCGAGGCCCCAAAAGGGTGTATTCCTCACCTGAAGACATTCAGAAAGATGATGAGAAAGCCAGGAATACCTCCACAAGTAGTTACCAAGAACCTACCATAGCGCAGACACATGGGTTCAAGCCCAGGAATTCCCGTTACTCCCACTCTACGAACCTGCCTCTCCGATTCCATTTGGGAAGCCAGTCGTGACTCAAATCGTATCGTGTTTGAAGAGAGAGAGAGTCCTGAGGCTTGTTCGTTTCTGCTCTCATTTCTTTATAAAGGCGTGTACTCATTTATTCACTTATTCGTTCATTCACCAATTATTTGTTGAGTGTCTGCTATGTTCCAGGCATGGTACTCATTACTAGGAATTCACTTGTGACCAGAAAGAGACACTGTCCCGGCCCTTATGAAGCTGACCTTCTAGAGGGGTGACAGCCAGTAATCGATTAACCATAATCGTGAGGGTCAGCTGTGAACTGAGAGCCACAGCTGGAAGGAAGGGAGCTCAGGCCAGTCAACCCAACTGGGTCCAGGAAAGGTTTCCCTGGGAAAGTGAGGTAGTCCTGGGGTCCAAGGTAAGGAAGAGTTCCCTGGATGAAGGCAAGGACCAGGGAAGGACCTGCTGCTCAGGGTGTCTCCTCTAAGACATCCCCATCTGCCTGTTCACAGGCATCTCAACCCCATCCTGACCCAACGTCATCGTCCCCGAATCTGCCCTCACCTCACTCAGCGAAGAGCTGTCTCGTCCTTAGTCCTCAGGCCAGAAGGCTGGAGACATCTCAGACTCTTCCTGCCCTCACACCCCGATTCTAGCAATTACCAAGGCCTCTCCACTTTTATCCCGTATTTATCAAATCTTTCCCCTTCTTTCAATTCTCTCTACCAAGGCTCTGCTTGGAACTTAACCTTTCTTGGGGTGCCTGGGTGGCTCAGTCGGTTAAGCGTCCGACTTCAGCTCAGGTCACGATCTCGCGGTCCGTGAGTTCGAGCCCCGCGTCGGGCTCTGTGCTGACCGCTCAGAGCCTGGAGCCTGTTTCAGGTTCTGTGTCTCCCTCTCTCTCTGACCCTCCCCCATTCATGCTCTGTCTCAAAAATAAATAAACGTTAAAAAAAAAAAAAAGAAATTCAACCTTTCCATTGGGAGTGGGGAAATACTGAAATTACATCATTCGACCCTAGAGACACTGGGATGAACGAGTAGGCACAATCCCTGCCCTTTTAGAAGGTTGAGCAGAAAAACATTTTTCCATTGGCTTTCTGACGGCCTCCCTGCCTCCCGCCTTGTGCTCTTGACTCCAGACTCCACACTCAGCTAGAATGGCCTGTGTGCGATGTGAACCTGACACAGCCCATCCCCCACCTTCTCCACAGAATTCAGTCCAGTGATCTTAACAACATCACCCGGGGCCCTTCCCCTTTCAGGGCTATCACCTGCCCGTGCCCAGACCACATCTGAAAACAAAGACCCACAAAATGTTTCTTCAAGAGCTATGTGCGTGAAGTGAATAGATTAAGGACTATATACCCTTGGGCACTAGTTAGTAGCTTTCTCATTTCGACTTGCTTTTCATTTCGCCAGGTGACATGCCATACATTAGACACTGAGAAGGGATAAAAATAAGAAGTCGCAGGCAATGTCCGAATAGACCAGTGGAGGAGCGCCTGGGTGGCTCAGTCGGTCGAGCGCCCGACTTCAGCTCAGGTCACGATCTCTCGGTTCGGGAGTTCGAGCCCCGCGTCGGGCTCGGTGCGGTCAGCACAAAGCTCGCTTCGGATGCTCTGCCCCCCTCTCTCGCTGCCCCCCACCTCTCTGTTTTTTCTCAAATGAATAAGCATTGGGAAAAAAAAATAGATGGCTGGAGGAGGATGAGTGTTTTGCTGAATCCACTGTGGGATTTTCCTGCTTTGTAGTTAGAGACAAATTTCACCCTTCCTCTGCCTGAAGGCACTGTGGCCGTCAAAAGCCTAGAGGCTTATAGCTAAAGTGGCCCAGAGGTGGTGGCCCCTGTCAGCTCTAATCGCCTGAACAAAAACACTTCACCCCTGTCTACTTTGCACTAATCTCAGGAAAGGCCCGAGGTCACCTTTTCAAACCTCAAGAGTAGCCCTCCAGAGCTGCTCCCTTTCAAATTCAGGAACAAATATGGAAAGGCCCGATGGGTGTTCCTGTAACTGTCTGTACGATTTTCATTTTCAAATCGAGAGGATTATCCTTAACTGGGAAACCTTTTTAAAAGCAGTTGCAAATGAATTGTTACTTACCGATTTTTTTGTGTTTAAAGCAATGCGTACAGTTTTCAACTCGGCATCTGCCAGAGAGGAACATCAGGGTCAGAGCGCTCTAGTGCACAGAAGGAACACAAATTGGACTTGGACACGTCTGGATTTGAGTGCTGGATGCATCACGCCCCAGCTGTGTGGCCTTGGGCAAGTTACCCAACCTCTCTGAGCACTGGTTTTTTCATATCGAAAGGACTCCTTCTATCTATCCATCCACGAAGTGTGGTTTGCGGGTATAAGGGCACCTGGAGTTCACACAGGGAAGAACTGATTCAAGGCCAACGGGAATCCAAATCCTTCCGTTCTCTAGAACTGATGAGCGTTCCTCTACTAGCTACAGTTGACTACCGTGTGGTGTGTGTGCTTCAACCTCCAAATCCGGCACCCACAAAACTTTTCGCCCTGGGCCTAAGGGTGGCCTCAAAATTCTTTCAACGTCCACTCAACGTCAGCCCGCCAGCTTGAGGTCCCATGAGAGGAAACATATCACCACGTTGGCCCCTGACCCTCATCAGCCCAGAAACCGTGCATGACAGAGGCTCAGTGGTGGACCGAGGGAAGCAGGAACTGGCCTTTCTCTGGGTTTTCTCTGTCTTCCGTTTCTAAGACTGTAGACTCACAGGCCATCCGGGCTGAACGAGACTGCGCAGCCTCCTCAGTTTACAGGCAGGGAAACTCGGGACCGAGGAAGCAAGGCCTTCTAGCAAGCCTTCCTTTGGACGTCTGCTTTCTCGGACTAGCCAACCATCTGGTAACAACAGCCAGGAGACTTCGTGCTGTGCATTAGGGCTCTCTGACGACACAGGGAGGCTCAGCTCCTCAAGCCCAAGACCAGTCCTGGCTCGTCCTGTGGCACCCAGTCTAGCGGACGTTGCCCAGGTTCCAGGAGCGTCCGGCCAAGGCCAAGGATGAGAACGACCACAGTGCCTCCCATCCCAGTGGAAACGCCAGCATTAGAGTCAAAACTGCCGAGATGTTTGCTCTGCCACTGAGACCCGGAGGGACCCTGGAGATTTCACCCAGTCTGGGCCTCCCTTTGGGCCTTCCTCACCTATAAAACTTTAAATAAATTTGAAAATAATAAGAATAAAAGAAACGTAACCATCGCAATCAGACTGAACTCACATATTTGTCTCCCAAACCACTTTGCCTGGTGCATTTCAGTCGGCTCGGCACAGGGAGGAATTTCCCTGGAGACCCATCCCTGGCCGCATTCAAGCAGAGACTAGATCATCCACGGGTCCGTCCTGCTGTTTCCAGGATTTCTGTACTTTGCCGAGGAGCTTCTAAAACCCTTTGAGAACCAGAATTTCTGCAAATCTTTGATCTGTCCATCTGGGTTGCTGCCCAAGGAGGGTTAGGAGATGAACTGTGGAGAAAGTTAATTTAATCTTGTGAAGAGCCAGGAAACAGAGCAGGGCTGTTGCCAGAAAGACTCAGTGTAGTCAGAAGACAAGACTTTCTCATTCAAAATCGCCCACGGCAACTCCATCCTTATTAAAGTGGAATGTAAAATCGTAACGTGGACATCGTTCCTATTCATAAAGGAGCTTATAAAAATGACTGCAAGGCAAGTTCACTGTCCCTCTTCACTATGCGGGCCATTCCGCTGCCTCAGTAATACTGGGGATGTTAAGAGAGACTTACTGGGGTCACAGAGCTGAGGATGTCAGAAAACACGGGTGTGACGCACGGACTGGCTCCTTTCTGATTACCTAACCCCAGTCATTGAACCCTAAAGCCCAGAACTTTGGGAAGTGGGAAAACGCTTGCGTGAAAAGAAAAAAAAAAAAAAAAGTTGACTGCAACTACCCTCAGTTTGCTTAACGGTAGGCCCAGAGGCTCTTCCCGAGAAGGGTCAGCTGTGCCTTGTGACCCAAACAGTCCCGAGCAAGGGCGGGCAGAACCTTGACGCCCTCCATGCCTTCAGCTTGCTGTGCCTGCCGCGGAAGTGAGTCTATGGCCCCAGCCCAGGCTCAGATTTCCCAGCTGACACGATTAGGGTTCCACCTGAAATCCTAATTGGGATCTAAATCACCCACTGGGACAGGTGCTCCGGCCAGGCCTCAAGCCCCGTGCCGGGTGACTCAACACCGTGCCCCTTGTGTGGGCCACACGCTGTAACACATGTGCTTGGCCTTGTCTGGTCCTCGGGTCCCCGGTGAATAAGTCCAGATTCATTCTCCCACCTGAGAGGTCTTCAGAATTTGAACGAGGTTGGCTGAACAAGTTGTAGTCCCCAGGCCTGGACGGTGGCCCCTTCAGGATGGGCTCCGGCTTGCAAAGAGCCTAGCTCTGGGTACCCCCCGCCCCAGGGGCTCCATCTGAGGTCAGAGTTGGACGCCACTATTATTCCCACAAGGCTGCCCCTGGGGCCTGAGGGTTTTGGCATCTTATCTTTGACTTCTTCTCATCTCAACCCCCGGACCTTTCGGCGAGGGATAGAGCAGAAAGCGGTCTGTCCTCCAGTCTGGGATGAGAATGAGGGTATCGAGCTCCTCAACTCCGGTAGGTGAAACACAAAAGAAATTCACAAGAAATTCAGCTCTGTAGTGGGGAGGGTCCCAAAGTCCTACAACCTGAGCAACCGAAAATCCCTATTGTTTTCAGAGGAGATGTGCCAAGGGCTTGGGAAGGAGGGGCAAACGGGCTTCTCTGGCCCATCCCTGAGATAGAAAGAACCACAAGGCACCCTCCCTGCTGTCCCAGCTGACTTGGAGTATCTGCACACCGGTCACCTCAGCCCGTGACATAGCAACACGTCTCCACCCACCCCAAGTGGCCCCAGCTCCTAATACACACACACACACACACACACACACACACACACACACACACACTGTGTATGTTTGGGAGGTGCTCCCATCCGGGGCCCTGCAGCTGCCGGTGACCCGGCTGAACTTCAGGGGATGCAGCAATCCTCAAGGTTGAGGGTGATTCCTGCGTGTGTGTGCAGGGCCTTCCCCGGAGCAAAGGGGCTACAGCCCTCCCCAGATTCCCAAAGCAGCATCTGGGGGCCATAGACACTAAGGAAAGTGAGTTTCAAACAAATATTCTCAAAGCGCTCCACAAATTGAAGAGTCTGGGGATGTAGTGTTCTCTGAGCTGACTCAGTCTCTGAATCTACACGTTTCCTCTCACCTAGTTGACAGGTGGCTTTTACTTTTCAAGTGAGGCACGTGCCCTCAGCCCCTGTCCTGTCCTCTTGCTTTGCTGTGGCTGCGTCCTAACACCCTCAGAGCCAGAGGGTGGGGACTCACCCGGCGGGTCTTGGCTGCAGGAAGTAGGACTCGGCCCATCTGGCTGGGGGGTGGGGTTTCAGGGTAGGGAGAGCACACTCAGCATGTGTGTGTTTATGCACTAGGATCCAGATTGCTTGTGATGACATCTTAATCCCACTCTGAACCAGCATTTACACCAGGAAAAAGTCGTGTACAGAAAAGATCATTAAAAACCTGACATACATCAGTGTTAAGAGGCATATCGGACATCTGGGTGGCTCAGTCAGTTAAGCGTCCGACTTCGGCTCAGGTCATGATCCTGAAGTTCGTGAGTTCGAGCCCCGCGTCAGGCTCTGTGCTGACAGCTCAGAGTCTGGAACCTGCTTCGGATCCTGTGTCTCCCTCTCTCTCTCTCTCTCTCTCTCTCTCTCTCGGCCCCTCCCCTGCTCACACTCTGTCTGTGTCTCTCTGTCAAAAATAAACAAACATAAAAAAAAATTTTAATATTAAGAAACATAAGCCTGCTTTTATGGAGCTGGAGTAGGCTCTTCCCACGCGTATAACCATAACCATAGTAATCCCAGGCCTGCGTTAACAAAATACCACAGGGGCCCCTGGGCGGCTCAGTCGGTTGAGCTTCCGACTTCGGCTCAGGTCATGATCTCACGGTGCGTGAGTTTGAGCCCGGCGTCGGGCTCTGTGCTGACGGCTCAGAGCCTGGAACCTACTTTGGATTCTGTGTCTCATTCTCATTCTCTCTCTGCCCCTCCCCCTCTGTCTCTCTGTGTCTCCCAAAAATAAATAAATGTAAACAAAATTGTCAAAACCCCCACAGATTGGGTGGCTTAACTAATGGAGATTCCTCGTTCACAGCTCTGGGGGCTAGAAGTCCAGGAACAGCATGCCGGCAACGTTGGTTTCTTCTGAGGCCACTCTCCTTGACTCGTGGATGGCCATTTCTCCGTGTTTTCCACTGTCTGGTGGCTGTATGTCCCGACTTCCTCTTTTTTTTTTTTCAACGTTTATTTATTTTTGGGACAGAGAGAGACAGAGCATGAACGGGGGAGGGGCAGAGAGAGAGGGAGACACAGAATCGGAAACAGGCTCCAGGCTCTGAGCCATCAGCCTGACGCGGGGCTCGAACTCACGGACCGTGAGATCGTGACCTGGCTGAAGCCGGACGTTAACCGACTGCACCACCCAGGCGTCCCCCCCGACTTCCTCTTTTTATAAGGACACCAGTCATATTCGATTAGGGCCCATCCTGAAGACCCTATTTTACCTCAATATATCTCTTTAAAGACTCTCTTCCCAAATACAGCCCCATACTAAAGGTAGTGCAGGCTAGGGGCTTCAATGTATGAATTTGGGGCATGGGTGAGCCTAGTTCAGCCCATAAAACGTGGCTGTAATATGTGGGGACCCTCCCTTGTGCCAGAAGCCCTATGTGACACCTGCCCTGTGTTACTCTTATCCTCACGAGACTCGCGAGCTCAGGAACATCGTAGCCCAATTTACAAATGCGGAAACTGAGCCACGTGGTGAATCGGCGAGTTAAAAAACAAATATTTATTGAGAATCTCTTACCTGCTAGGTACTAGGAGTGTAAAGAGGAAAAAAAAAAACCTAGCTTCTACCTTCCAGCAACATGCGGTCTGACAGGGGCAGCCTTCTGTTTTCCTAGAATTTTGATACACTTTTGTGGGCAAGGGCAGTTCTGTCTATGGCCAACATTTGAAACACACGATTTTATGTGTCCAAACTCACCTAAAAATCAGCCCTCCCTCACCCACTCTAGTTCTCTGAAATGAGGTGAAAATCTACATATACATAATGTAAATTAGTCCCAACGTCAGTGTCATGAAGTAGGGCATAGGGTTGGAAGATCAAATCATTTCCGTAGCCTCGGCATTGCCACTGATTTTGAGACCCAGATATGCCTACCTTTAAAAGAATTGTGCCTCCTTTTGCACCCTGCTATGTTTGTTTGCCTATTTAATACATATTTTTCTAATCAGTCTGTTGGCAAAGTATCTAAATTTGCAGGGAGGGAAAACCAAGGTGATAAATGTCAGTTGCTGGAAGACTATTACAAGAGTTTAACATGCAGTTGGAAACAGCTGGAACGTGGTGTATGAGGCAACGAGCTAGGTATGCGGTCAGTCAGCCATTAATTAATTTACTTAGGAACATGTCCTAAGCTCCTACTCTGTGCCAAGCCCTGGGCGAGGTTGTACAACAGAGCAGGGAGTGAAGCCTGGATTCTGACTCCCCACTATCACAGCTTTTGATAACAAACCCGATTGTCAGTTTCCTTCACACATTGATCTGTCCTCCCACCAAAAGCCATTTAATTGCATAGTCTCCTTTCTATTTTTAGTGGAAAACAACAGTCCTCGTTTGTTGTTTGATTATGAACTGTCTCCCTCCCCACCCTCCTTCTCTATCTGTAACCCTCCTCTTCTCCACCATGTTAGCTTGAAGCCTACTGGGTTTGCCCTTCCCCCACGGACTTCTGCTAAACACGCCCACTGCGTGGGAAGGCAGCTCTAGAGTGCCGGGGGCTGTGAAAACCCACGCTGGAAAACAGACAAAAAGAAAAGAGGATCCCTTCTCCATGCATCGCCTCTTCATGTTTTACTAGCATCCAACACAATAGTCTTCTCTACAGTTTTTGGTGGAGGGGTCCTGTGTCTCATCCCACTTGACAAGGGAAAGCATCACCAAACAAAGAAGTAAAAGAGGAGGGGCGCCTGGGTGGCTCAGTCGGTCGAGCCTCCGACTCCGGCTCAGGTCATGATCTCAATGGTCCGAGGTCATGATCTCACGGTCCATGGGTTCGAGCCCCACGTCGGGCTCTGTGCTGACAGCTCGGAGCCTGGAGCCTGCTTCGGATTCTGTCTCTCTCTCTCTCTCTCAAAAATGAATAAAACATTTAATTTTTTTTTTAATTTTAAAGAAATTAAAGAGGAAAGTTTGCCAACGTAACCTGCTTGGCCCCAGAAAGCCACCTGTGCCTGTTATAGGCACCAAAGCCATTGGCAATCATTGTTGAAATATGAGACATAGTACTACTCACCATATGTGGACTCACACCAGGGTCAGTCGTACCGGGGAAAGAAAGGGTTACCAGTTTTATGGCCAATTCCAGTTCAGATAATGCCAGGATTTTTCTGACCCTGGCGGGGG